CACAGTGAGAAGGCATCTGTTTGAAAACCAAAGAGAGAAGCCTCAGTAGGAACCAAACCTGCTGGCCCCTTGATCCTGGGCTTACAGCCCCCAACAAGTAACTGTAATGTAAGTTACCCAGTCTGTGGTATTCTATTGTTGCAGCCTTAGCAAACTAATAGAAAGATCAAGTTACCGATCTTTTCTTTTGTGGTTTTTTTATTTTTCTTTCCCAGCTAGGGAATTCTTGCTTACCCCAAAGTTAAAAAGATTTTCTCCTTTTTTTTCTAACAGTTTAATACTTTTATCTTCCACCTTTAGACCTTTTTCCTATTTTGAGTTTATTTTTATGTGAGATTTATTTTCCCCCATATGAATATCTAATTATTCCAGTGCCATTTGTTGGAAGATTCTTTTTCCTTTATTGAAATTTGTTAACAATCAATCGACCAATGTATCTGTAAGTCTATTTTTGATTCTTTATTCTGTTCTATTGATCTAGATAACAAATTTGATGCCAGGGCCACACTCTCTTCATTATTGTAGCTTTATAATAAGCACAGAAATAGGGTAATATAAGTCCTCCAACTTTGTTTTTCTTTTTCAAAATTGTTGTGGATTTTCTAAATCTTTTACATATAAATTTTACAATAAGCTTGTCAATTACTTTTCCTCTGAAATTTTATCAGTCAATATAAAGTGGACTAACATTCCAGCAATATTCCAATCCACGAACATAGTATAGCTTTCCCTATATTTAGTTCTTTTAAAATTTCTCTCAGCAGTATTTGCAGTTTTCAAAGTATAGATCTTACACACATTTTGTCAAATTTATCCCAAAATGTTTCCTATTACTTGATGCTTCTGTAAATGGTATTTTGTAGATTTTTACTTCTAGCTATTGTTGTTAGTAGAAAAAAATCAGCTGATCTTTACTTATTGATCTTACATCCTGTCATCTTAAAGTCACCAAATCACTTATGAGTTCTCATACCTTTAAAAACACATGTTCCTTTGAACTTCCTATGTATAATATGTTGTCTGCTAATGAAGACAGTTTATTTCTTCCTTTCCAATGCATATGTCTTTTATTTCTTTGTCTTGCCTATTGCACTGGATAGGATCTTTAGGACAATGTTGAATAGAAGTAATAAAAGCAGATAGTTTGTCTTGTTTCTGACATTGGAAGGAAACCATACAGTCTTTTATCTTTAACAGATTCCCTTTATCAGGTCTTAGGATTTTCATATATTCTCTTTATCAAGCTGAGAAAGCTTTCTTCTATTTCTAGTTTATTAGTAATTGTAATCATAAATTACCACTGAGTTTTTGAAATACTTTCTCTGCATCTATTGAGATGGGTGTATGGTTAAATGAGATGAAGTATGTCAGGAACTTAGGATGAGGCACATGGTAGTCACTGAATAAAAGTTGTTCTACTTATCATTATTATTATTAAGCTTTCATATGGTGTTGATACCACTTTGGTCCTCCTGCCCCTCACAGGACATTTCTAGAATCTGTTGTGGGTTATGCAATAGTTGGAGTTCCTAAGAGGGAGAGCACCTGCCACTGGCATTGAAAAAGGTAATATTTTGTGAATCCTAATTTGGAAGAAGACACCGTCAACTTCAATTGCTAGCTCATTTGGGAGACTTAGGAACCAGATATCAGGAATGTCATCTGCAGGAATTATGTAGGATTCAAGAACTCAGGTTATTTAAGAACATTTGATTCTGGAAACTTGGTTTGTAAGAATTGTATGGAGTTACGGAACATTAGGCTCTAGGAATACTGTGTATTTCCAGATACAATGGTTGAAAGAACTTCGGGTGATTCTGGAACATTGACCTGTAAAAATGATATGTGATTTGCAATTTTGGCTTTTAATAATGTTATGCCATTTTATAACCTTGTGTGCTTCTGGAAACTTATAATAAACTTACATGGTTCTGAAAACTTGGTTTATTAAAACATTATGTGATTCTGAAACCTTGGCTTGAAAGAAATATGCTTGATTCAAGGATCATAGCTGTCAGAATAGCACCATAATCGCACTAGATGGCTTCAGAAACATGCTCTACAAGAATATTGTGTGAGTCTGGAAGCCTAGTCTACAAGACGTTCAGTTTAATTTTGGAATCTTGATTCCCATGTACTTTGCCCAATAGGAATCTTGCATGAGTTTTAAAACTTGTTCTGTAGAAATCTCATATATTTCTGGATGCTTGATCACAAGAATCTCATGTGATTTGCAAAGGTTGGTTTATTAGGTTTTGTCATTTTGAATCTTGGCTTGTAGGAATCTTATGTGACTTTGGGATCTTGGCCTGAAAAACTGCTATTTAATTCTAGAACCTTGGCCAATGAGAATCTTAAGTGATTCAGAATCGCTGGTCTATAATAGCACAGCATTTCAGAACATTGGCCAGTAAGAATATGATGCAACTATGAAACACTGGCCTGTAATAATGTGATGTGGTTTCAGAATCTTCGCCTTTGCAAAGTGTGATTGTGATACCTTGGTATGTGAAAGACCACTGATAGCGTTTTAATATTTGTTTTTTCTTCCTTGGTCAGAGACCACTGATTTTTAGCTGTGACATGGCCAGCTAAAAACTAAATTTCTGAATAAAAACTGAAATAAAAACTCAATTTCTCATCCTGTCTTGCAGCTGTTTGTCCTTGTTATGACGAAGATCTGGCCAATGACATGGAAACAGGAGTGGCAGAGACACTTTCTGGAAAATATCTGTAGATGGAGGAGCTATGCCCGTCCTCAGCCCTTCCTCCTTCCTATTGGCTGGAATGTTGGCCTACTTCCTGCAGCCACCTGGAGCCAGGAAGTGGTGTTGGCAGGGAAGCCATGAATGGTGGAGTATTGAGATTGAAGGAGCCTGAGCTCCTGCCATTGTGGAACACCACCCCAAACCTACCTGATATGAGACAGAATTAAATTGCCTCATCGAAGCACTTCTATTTTGGATTTTGTGTCACTCACACGCAAGCCTAGTCTAGTGTTTTAATCCAAAGAACAATAGGTGATTCTGAGACTTGGTTTCTATCATCCTGGCACCTTGGCCTGTAAATCTTAGGTGATTCAGACACCTTGATGTGCTGGATTACCTGTTGTCAATTTAGCATCACTGCTATCCTCTTGAAGAGGAGAAGCCAAGAACTACATTTCCCAGAATTCCCTTCAGGCTGGTTCTGGATTCGAGTTGGCTGTGAGGGCACTCACATGAGATCTGGAGGGTGAAAGAGGAGAGGCCATTATTCTCCAGAGACTACCAGGCAATAGCATGGGCACCCTGGCTGCTGTTATTATGACTTAGGGCAGAGGTTAGCAAACTACAGCCCATGGGTCAGACTGGCCCACTGCTTGTTTTTGTAAATAAAGTTTTGGGGTCTTCTGCTAATTTTTTTTTTAAGTCCCAGGGTACATGTGCAGGGTGTGCAGGTTTGTTACATAGGTAAAGGCGTGCTATGGTGATTTGCTGCACTTGTTAACCCATTTCCTAGATATTAAGCCCAGCATGCATCAGCCATTTTACCCAATGCTCTCCCTCCCCCCACCTCCCCCATAGGCCCCAGTGTGTGTCATTCCCCTCCCTGTGCCCATGTGTTCACATTGTTCAGCTCCCACTTATAAGTGAGAACATGTGGTGTTTAAATAAAGTTTTCTTGGAACATGGCCTTGTTTACATATTGTGTGTGGCTCCCTTTAAGCCATAACAGCAGACTTGAATAGTTGATACAGGGATTATATGTGGCAAAACCTAAAATATTTACTATCTGGCCCTGTACATAAAATGTTTGCCAACACCTGCTATGAAATATCTGGTTCGAGTTTAGTAACTTCCATTTAATAAGTATCTATTGAGCATCAGCTGTCTGGTGTGTGGGGAGGAGGCTTATTCATAGAGTGGGTATCATTTAGGTGGAACAATAAAGTATATCCAATAGCAAGGTCACAGATTTACTTATATTACCTTTAAATGTTCACAGAAATATATAATTTTGTTTTGGTTTTTTCTCTAGTAATTGACCTGAGCTCCTTCAAATCACTATTCATTGGGTAACAGAAACAAGAAATCCTACAATTTAGGCCAGATGCAGTGGCTCACGCCTGTAATCCAGTACTTTGGGAGGCCAAGGTGGGCAGATCACGAGATCAGGAGTTTGAGACCAGCCTCACCAACATGATGAAACCCAGTCTCTACTAAAAATACAAATAGTAGCTGCGCATGGTGGCACACACCTGTAATCACAGCTACAGGAGGCTGAGGCAGGAGAATAGCTTGAACCTGGGAGGCAGAGGTTGCAGTGAGCCAAGATCGTGCCATTGCACTCCAGCCTGGGTGACAGAGCACGACTCTGTCTCAAAAAATAAAGAAAGAAATAAAGAAATCCTACAACTTAATTTATACCAACACGTATTTTCCTTTCTCCTTTTTTTTCTCTCTGCCTTCCCTGACTCTCTTGGTGTGTGCAAAGAAAGAGGAGAGTAGCCATATCTTTCCAGGAGGCCCACCTGTTCCCCAATAACTTTTAATTGCATAAAATAATGTCTATTTCCAAAGTTATGCTTGGCTTCATCAGGTAAAAATACACAGGATGTGGCAGTAAAGGAGAGATGGGGCTTCAGGCTGACACAGTATGTGTCCCCTGGAACCGCTGGCCTCAACTGCAGTGGGGCTGGTCCTGGGTGTTCCCTGGGCTGGTAACTGTGAAGAGGTCCTGGGTGTCGCCCTGGTATTCACTGCTGGAGTCTGTGGTGGCTTCACTGTATGAATTGCTCTCCTTTATTCTCTGTATGGTCAGAGCTCACATTGTCCCAGCTGATTTGGCCCCATTTTGGCCCATTGAGTTCATTATTTTGATTAAAGTTCAGTATTCAAGTTCACTTTAAATGAACAAGCTTTTGTTCATTTAACCTAGAGAGAAGAAACTCACAGATTTATTAATACAACAACAACAATAAAACCCTCAGCTTTATTGGCATCTCCCAACCTGCCTAGACCTACTGGGGGAGAAGAAGAGGATCCCTGGACCTATTTGGACTTCTCACACGCTAAAGAGGTGTCATTCCAGCAGCCTGGAGAAGGAGATATGGCCAGAGAATCTTCGTTTCTAAGAGGTCAGTTGGCTAACGTCCCAAGGTGTTTATGGTTGGAAAAAACATCAATCTGTTTTCATTTTTATACCACAGAAGGGTAATCAGACTTTTACATCTCAGTTTTTGTGTCAAAATTCAAATGTTTGCATTATAATTGAATTGTATTAAGCTACTTAATGCCCGCAGGCATCTAGAGGCATCAGATACAGTCCAGTAACCAAAGATAAAGGCTAGTCACAAGGCAGCAGAGCTGGGCACTAGAGAAGCCACAAGCTGCAGGAACCTGTCACCTGTCGAGAGAACACAGTGAGAGGAAAATCCCTTCTTTCTGCCGTATCTCTGTAGCACCCCCTACTGACAACAGACAAAGCTTACCGCTGTGCCAGCCTGCAGAAGAAAAATATTTAATGGGCCCAGCTGCATTTTTGCAGAGCTGGTAGTGAAGGATAAATTTGGAACTGAGAGTCCGTAAATTGATAACTGGAATATATGAGATATGCCTATCAATAATTGTCATGGCAGTTGCAGTGGCTCACACCTGTAATCCCAGCACTTTGGGAGGCGGAGGCAGGCAGATCACTTGGAGCCCAGGAGCTCCAGACAAGCCTGGGCAACATGGCAAAACCCCATCTCTGCTAAAAATACAAAAAAAAAAAAAAAATAGCTGTTCATGGCAACATGTGCCTGTAATCCCAGCTACTCAGGGGGCATAGGTGAGAAGATCACTTGAGCCTGGGAGGTTGAGGCTGCAGTAAGGTTGAGGTAACAGAATGAGACCCTGTTTCAAATAAATAATAGTAATAATAATAATTATCAAATAGAAAAACAGAAAATTTTGAAATAATGCATTTAAAAATAATAGCATTAAACATATTATGTATCAACATATTTTAATCAAAATATTTGTATTTTCCCAAACAAACAAAAGTAATAAAATGAGTCGCATTGCTTTGGAAATCTTTTTGCTGTTTGGTTAAGAGAGGATAGCTGGATTCTCCTTCCTGCTTTTGCAGTCAATCTATCGTGATATGTTGTTTTGGTTAAAATATATAAAGAAAATCTGGCTTTTCACAAGTGTGTAGTTGGAAAAGGGAGGAGTATTTTAACAGCTTTTGAAGATAATTGTAGATATTCTTAACTACGCACCAAAACTCAACAAGTAGGAGTTTCTTAAAGATTAGTTGCAATGTGAATGGAATCACATCAGTATGTTTTTCATCCTCTGTAATATTAAAATCCATTTGTCAACCTTGCACTTTAAATGGATTTTTGCCTGTGCATGATTTTGAAACATCATACATCGATCACTTGGAAAATATTGGTTCACTGAATTATGTAGATCTTCCAAATGTTGACACATTTAATTATACAATATTTAAAAAACAACATTACTTAACATCACTACCCATCACAATGTATTGGGAAGCTGTCAATCCCACAGTGGCAAATGCAAGTTTTCCAAAATTCTAATTTGCACTTGAAATTTTGAATTTTACAATTGGCAACAACGATTGTCAATTCTTTTCCTTGAAGTGGCGGGCTCCTTTCATTTATTTTCAAGATAATGTCTGCCAAATACGCAAGTCTGATTAACTTTACCTTATCTGCTTTTCAAGTAAAACGAGTGTTCAGTGAAAAATGTGCACAGTTTGGCTCACAGCTCAATCCCACCAGTCCCTTTGATTTAAACAAACATCACGCCTACATTTTCCCACTCTGTCACACTGAATTAGAAGAGAAAAATGGCACGTACTCAAGGGTCAACATTTAATAACATGAATAATTTTAACTGCCTCATCAAGAACATTCTTAAGTAAAATTGGCTTTTTTTTTAACTGCATGTGTATGGTGGTACACACACACACACACACAGAGTCAGTGGCTGTCAGTATAGTCTGTCCTAATTCATGCTAAAAGCACCAGCAGTTTTATCCACCTTTGCTTTTACATCAGTGCACATTTTAACACAGTAAAAAAGAGGCACTCATTTCTTCGGATTATCATGAAAATAGTCGTGACTTTTCAGATCCTCAGCAGGGGCACAGTGGCTCGCACCTGTAATCCCAACACTTTGGGAGGCCGAGACGGGCAACTAGTTTGAGCTCAGTGGTTCGACACCAGCCTGGGCAATATTATAAATCTCCATCTCTATTAAAAAAATATTAAAACATTAGCCGGGTGTTGTGGTGGTGTGTGCCTGTAGTCACAGCTACTCGGGAGGCTGAGGTGGGAGGGTGGCTTAAGCCTGGAAGGCGGAGGCTGCAGTGAGCCAAAATGGGGCCGCTGGATTCCAGCCTGGGTGACAGAGCCAGACCCTGCCTTAAAAAAAAAAATGGAAAAGAAAGAAAATCATTTGTCTAATTAACATCTTATAACTAAGGACCATAATGCGATTTCAGGGTCATCATGTTCATTTGAGCAAGAGTCCTATTGGCACCAAGTAGCACTATTTTATTTTTAAGGACTAGCATTAGAAGGAGTGAGTTCATAAATGAGTTCACACCCAGTGACATCAAAAATGCTATATGAGCAAAGGCTTTACAGTAGTTTGGATAGACGAAAAAGTGATGGGGAAGTTGGATCATCACACAACACAAGGTGATAATGAGCTGAACCCAAAGGAATCTGCATCACTGCAGTCAGTACCATCATCACAGGGCCAGTGGTGACTTCGTTTCAGCAAAAGCATCGTCTAGAGCTAATCATCCCCAACTACTAAAGTAAGATCCTTCTGAGTGCTTTGCCCAGTGCCCTGAGAACTATAAGGTTTTTCAGTCTGGCTGGAGAACAGGTCCTATTCCTGGCCCCGCATGAGCTTCTGGTGCTGTCTCTTCTAACCTTTTGTGTGCTTCTTTCACTGGCTCATGGGGTACTGTTTCTTCTAACTGGTTCTTTCACTGGCTCATGGGGCTTCCCCACATGCAGGTGCTGATTGGAACTCTGCTAAATGCCTGAGGGAGACCTTTGGTGGCTCTTTGGAGTCCCTCCTCTATGTGACTCTCTCTGCTCCAGTCCTGTGCCCTGAGAACTCGGACAGCCCGGGCCTCCTTACATTCAGTTCCTCCCATCTTCTCAACCCAGGGGGTCCTCTGGGGCTCGCCTGTGTTCCTTCTCCCTGCACCGGCCTGGAACCTCTCAAGGCAGCAGGTTGGGGCAGTCAGAGGGCCTATCTCATTTGTTTGTTGGTCTTAGGGATGACTTTGTTGCCTGAGGTCTAGTGTCTTGAGAATCATTGTTTCATATTTTTAGTTGTTTCAGATGGGCCAGTAAATCCAGTCTCTTACTTTTTCTTGGCTGGAAGCAAAAGACCCCAGAGGATCCAACTTTGATCCTATCATAAGCACTCATGTTTTAGGCTGACCCATCCTTAGTCGATTTCTGAGCTCATCTCTTGTTTGCAGTACTTTGCCAAATGCAGCCAACAGAAGCAAAGCACACTACTAAATTCCTGTCTTCGAACTTCTTTCCCTACATACATTTCAAGTGGTTACAGGTGAGAGTTTCACCAAATGCTTCTCGGCTGCGTGGATGGCCAACCTCCAGCCTCCGACATCAGTTCCTCATTGCTGCCACTGAATCTCTAAGAGAATACTGCATCTTTTCATTGTTTTTCATTTGCTTTAATAGCACTCCACTTCTGGGCCAGGCATGGTGGCTCACGCCTGTAATCTCAGCAATTTGGGAGGCTGAGGTGGGCAGATCACCTGAGGTTGCAAATTTGAGACCAGCCTGACCAACATGGAGAAACCACGTCTCTACTAAAAAGACAAAAATTAGCCAGGCGTGGTGCCGCATGTCTGTAATCCCAGCTACCCCGGAAGCTGAGGCAGGAGAATAGCTTGAATCCGGGAGGCAGAGGCCGAGGTCGTGTCATTGCATATCAGCCTGAGCAACAAGAGCAAAACTCCATCTCAAAAAAAAAAAAAAAAAAAACAAAAAAAAAAAAAAAAAAAAAAAAAAAAAAAAAAAACCCAGCACTTCAATTTTAAGTACAAATTTCTGTGTCAGCCAGAATAGGCTAGATTAACCTGTGCTAACAACAACCCCCCTTACAATCAGTAAGAGTTTATTTCTGGCTCCAATGTGGAGCAGAAGGGAGGGGCTCCCTCATGGGAGTCACTCAGCACCCAGGCCACCTGTGGCTCGGTCACAACGCCTGCTTTCATCCCTGCAAGCAGGAAAGAGACATAGCCAACTACGTCTCTTAAAGCTCCCACCCAGAAGGGTTATTTGTCACCTCTGCTCACATTTTTATAGGTGAGGGCAAATCATATGGTTTCACTTGACTTCCAAAAAGAGCAGAGGTGTGCAGTGCTACCATGTGCCAGGAAGGAGGGAGATGGGAGTGTTTCCAGCAGCCCTAGCGCCCGCCCAGGTGGCGTGTGCGTTTCCCTTTGTTATCTCTGCTCTAGCTCTGACAATCAGCAATCAAAATGTGACTTGCTGAGTGATAATCAGCCCCCGATGTATTGAGAAGGAATGCCTTGCTCCTGGCTCTTCGGGATGCCTTGGTTTACTGCAGAACAAAGGAGACTCCTAACTACCCAGGCAATGTGAGTCCAAAAAGCATCAGGTTGGACTGGTGGAGATAACTCAGGAAGGATTCCAGCGGGGGGGGCAGGGCCTTGCATGGCCGGAAATCCCCACAAGTTGCAGTGACTCTGGCCTGCAAGACAGAGGGTTGCGTTTTCAAATACTGGCTCTCACCGGCTATGTGACCTTGAACAAGTCATGTCCCCTCTAGAGCCCTCAGTTTGCTCCCCTGTCAGAGGGAGATAATGTGAGTGGAAATTTCCAGAGCAGCGGTTGGCTTGCTCCCTTCCCCCTGACTGGGAAATGGCTCTCTCTCCTGGACCGAAGCCCAGGGCTGATTCCCAGTCACTATCAGCATCATTCTGAGCCTGGGCCAGGTCAACACATTGTTTATCTTGGTGTCTGAGCACATTCCTGACATTGCAGAGACAGACACTAAGAGCATGGAGGCTGGTGAATCCCCAACTCTCATCTTTCTACCCTGTGCCTCCTTCCTCCTCCCACCCCAGGGGCTTGTGAGAATAACTAAAAACTGCAACTCTAAGGCCAGCAAGGCCAATTTCCCAGGAGCAGAGTCCATGATTCCCATACAGACAGACCCTCCTGTTTGCCTCCAAAGGAGGCATCCTTTGTAATGACTCTTGAATTAATCAACTTCTATCGACTCCCGTGCCTGCCTCTGAGCTCAGGGTCTCCATTCCTCCCCCAAGACAGCTGCAGACATCTCCCTTCTGTCCTTCCTGCCCTAGTCCCTTCAGCCATCCTCCTGCTACACACTGCAGTGACCGGCCAAACCGGGATTCACCCTGTCCAGCCTCCTGCCCAGCAGCCTCCCATGCTGCCCAAGCAACAGGATAAAGCCCCACCAGGACTCCAGATCCTGGCCCTTAGCTCTCCCAAGTCCTCTACTCAGGCCAAGCTGTCTGCTGGACTGGTCATGTGCTTCTCTGCCTAGAGTATCTGTCCCAGTCCTTCCTCTGATTCTCTAAGGAGCATCTCAGACCCCGCCCACCCATGCCTTCCTTCCACAAGATTTGTAGACAGACAACTTTGCAGTGATCAGAGCAAAGGGGCTGATGGCCCCCTGTGGATCCACACCCAGCCCTAGATCTCCTCAGCAAGTGACTATCTCTCTCCCTCTGGCGCAGTTTCTCCATCTGTAAAAGGGAGATGCTGATGACATCTTCCCCAGAGGGCTACTGGGAAGAGTAACAAGATGTAACAGTATGCAGTGTGTGTGCATGGGCATGCGACACTAGCCATCATTTAATGTCTATTGGCCCATCCACCCTGCACACATGGACTGCATCCCTGGTTTTTGCCAGGGTCTCAGCTACTCACTGGGACTCATCTGTGCCCTCAAAGAGCCTTGCTTCAACTAGGGGAGAAACCACTGTGTTTGAATACCATGTGATGGTATCCATCCTGTTCCAGGCAGAGGATGCAGAGGATGACCCCCTGCACCTTCCAGGATCAGAGGATCCTGATGCGGTCAACTTACCACCAGGGGCCAGTTGGTCTCCTCAGGAAACAATGCCATTTCAAGGGTTTGATGTTGGCTTTTCATTACGGACAAGTTGGACATTCAGAAGTGGCAGGAGCTAGATGAGCCTTGGGTAGGTGGAAGCCCATGTCATTGGCCTGCCCAAGAGCAGCCTCAGGTCTCTGCCGTCACAGCCAGTCTGCTCCCGGGCCTGTCATGCTGGCTCTGGGATGCCAGTGATAAGGATGGTGAGTGTTGACTGTCCAGGTCGTTCTGTCCACTGGGCTGTTGAGTGCCTCTTCCGTGGCAGATGTTTCTTGGTGGGCACCAACCTTTCATATGGCAGTCTTCATGCTCCGTACCTACTCTAGATGCCCATCCGTATACCACTCCCCACACATCCTTGTCTTGATCTGCCACACACCTGACCAGATGGCGAGGGCATTGGCCAGTGCCCAACAATCTGTACAGATTCTCACCCTAGACCGCTTCTCCCACTATATAAAGGGGACTAGGTGCACTTATCACAACTCCATCCATTGGAAAGACACTCCCTCCCCACTGTCTTTCAGAGTCACCTTGAATGTGACCATAGTACGGCCACTATCTCTTTTCTCTTTGTATCCACATATTAAATTGATCCATCTTTAACCAAACTCAATGTTTCTCCTTCCTTTTCAGCTGGTTGCTAGTCATGCGGGAACACCCCCCAACACACACACACATGCACACACGTGCACACACACACATGCAACTTTGTGCTATTTAGGGGAGAATCATTGGTACAAGGTGGGTGGGTGACGTGGGAGTCTAGAATGACTGCCTGCTCCTGCAACTTACTCATGCCTCTGGTCCTGCTCCAACTTGATCCAGGCGTACCACTTCTCTCTGACAATGGATCACTCTTGGTCTGACTTTATGATTTGCAGGAATGAACAAAACACAGATCATAATTCGCAGTTCCAGCAAAGGGTCACCTGGTCTCCAATGATCGCGTGTTCCAACTCTGCCAGAGTTCGTGACAGGCCAGCCAGGAGCTGTTTCAAAAAAGGAGTGTCATTCTCTGCTGTGGCTCACGGGGCTTTGCTTCAGGATGCCCAGGTCTTCATTCTGCCTCTGTCCTGGAGTTTGCCGTAAGCTCCATGCAGCATCTTCTCCCACCACAAACACCTCCAACACTATAGGATCTGCCAGATCATATGACCCAAGACAGAGGGCTGACTGTCCCTTGGCCTGGATCTACTGCAGAATGTTCTCCCTCTCTGGGCCCACCCCTTGCCCTCCTCTCAGCTACCCAGGATATGGGCTAGAGCAATATTCCTTGGCATGAAACGTGTGGCCTCCAGAATGCAGAGATCTCTCTGAGGCTGTGCTTCCCCCATCGTGGTAGAAGATGCAAGATGCAGCAGTTGGTCTTTTATTTTGGAGAGGATATCTCAACACAGCCCCTGACCACTGAGCCCCTCAACTTCACTGAAGTGGCAGATCCCTGAATCCTTCTAGGTTTTATCTTCCACCCTTGGGAGTTCGTGTATCTTACCAATGCCTCCAGCGTATCTGCCACTTCTGGCTGGTCCTGTCCAGACATGTAATGTCATCTCCCTGAGGTCACGTGAGATTCTGAGGATGACTAGGTGGTACAGTTATCTTCAGCCTGTATCATGGCAGTGAGTGGGGCAGTTCCTACAGTCCCGGAGCAAAGCCATCAGTGAATAGTTTATCTTTCCCGTCTGAGTGTGAACTGTTTCCTATCCTCTTTTCTAAGCAGAATGGAAACAAACAAACAAACAAACAAACAACAAAACGTATTCACCAAATCAGTGGCTGCATGCCATGTACCTGAAGTCTTATTATTCTGCTTTGACAGTAGTAGAACACGGGGCACAGCAAATGGATCAGTTGTGCTCTCTGCAGTTGGAAGTCTGCAAGGCGCATTCTCACACAGGTGGGAATCGGTGTCCATAGTTACCCACGCCCCACATGAAGGCTGCAGGGCTGGGCCTGTCTGAAAGCGACACAGGCCGGAGGAGAAACTGGGAGATGGTGGACGTCCCTCCTCAGAAAACTTGCCATGGAGCCTTTATGAGTTTTTCCCCTAATTTTTCAATGCTGGTTTTAAATTCATTTATTCTCACTTTTTAATGTGTATTACTATGGAAAGGCGTGTAGCGTTATAAATGTCAGATCCCAAATTTGCATGACTCCAAAGTTTGTGGCCTTCCTACTGTACCCCCTGCCCCCAGCTCCAGCCTCTGTCATCCCCTGGTGGGAAATTCAGTTCTTTGAATTGAGTTGTGTGTTGTGAAGCTAGGCCCCAGGCTCCAGGACCAGTCTCAGAGCCCCTCCCTTCGTACCTCTGCCTGGAACAGGGAGGCAGGAGGGGGTAATACTGGGAAAGGGCACTGGGCAACAGCCAGGATGGCGTTTGAAAGAGCCAAAGAGGCCTCCCCGTCCTTAGGTCCTGGCAGAAGTACTCCTTGGAAAGGAAACGACCATCGTCCAGCGCAGTAGAGGGAAGAGCCCGGGTAAATGGGGCATGCCTGGGAGGCTGGGGGTGGCCCTGGGAATGGCAGGGGCTGCTATCAGGGGGGCATTGCCAGCACCCAGCCTCAAGGGTATGGCTTTGGGAAAGCAGTGGAAAGCTGTGCCAGGGCCCAGGAAATCTGTCAAGGCCAATGGCACTCCGAGATTGGCATTTCCTCCCAAAGGGACTCATTTGCTCAACATGGCGTCTCCTAAACCCCTAGACCCCACACCGCTCTGCCCTCCCTCTTTTGCCAACTCACATCACTCACTGCAGAGGGCAGAAAACCAACAGTGGGCTGTCATCACGGCCCTCTTTGCTTGGGTAGAAAATCGACTTGGCGCTTCTTCACTCTAGAAAACCACTCTCCTGTGGATGGGCCGTTATATTCCAGTCCTCTCACCTGCACGTCTGCTGTCAGGAGATTGACCAGACAAGGAATTGTAATGCCCATTTTGCAAAGGAAGTTTATCTCAGGGACGTTGAGTGATTTGTTCCAAGTGAGCAATTTGCTCCCCAGTAGTTGCTTTAAGATTCTACCATCCAGTTGAAATCTTTTCTGTTTTCTCACCTTTGCAATACCATGCACCAGTGTGGGTTGTGTGTGGAATGAGTGTCTGTAAATTTGAATCCTGGCTTAGCTACCTCGAGGGATTCCAAGATTTCCAGGGACCCATGGGGAGTCCTGTCAGAGTGAGAACAACCAGCCACCTCCAGCCCAGATCATCTGACTGCTCTGTGTGGGTTTTCCCCAGCTGGGTTTTGGTAATTCTAGACCCTGGGGTGTCTAGATGGAGCTGCTGTTGGCCTTCTGCCGGGCCTGCCTCCCATGCCCAGGTCAGTACATTTTCTTCCTCCCTTGCAGTCACTCACTTTCTTAGCTTAAAAGTATGTTTTTGGCCAGGCATGGTGGTTCATGCCTGTAATCCCAGCACTATTTTATAGAATAAGAATACTACATTTTACTTGCCCGTTCTTCTACTAATGGCTAGTCTACATTAGACCAGCCAATGCTTTTCTCTTAAAATAAAAGCTGCAAAGAACCTATCTGCAGTGGTGTGCTGACAGAAGTTTAACCGTCAGCTCTTGAAATACTCCTGCCATGACTGATTTCAAGCTGCCAACAGGACATCGCTAAATGCAGAGTTGGGAAGAATTGAACATTATCAGTCTTGCAAGCCGTACAAGTCGGCCCGAGCACACCACAGCATGTACATCTCCCTGTGCGTACATACGAGAGTTTCTCTGGGAATATACATCAAAATGAAACTGCTATGTGCATTTGCAAATTTACTAGTTATTGCCAAATTTCTCCCCAAAGCGGTCTTACTAATTTACACTCCTCCCAGCAGCTTATGAGAGTATTAATGTCTCCAAATCTTTCCGGATACTCAATATTTTCAGACTTTTCCATTCTTGCCAACATGATGAATGAGATATCGTACAACCAGTGAGACTGAACAACTTTTTTTTTTTTTTTTTTTGAGACGGAGTTTCGCTCGTTACCCAGCAGGCTGGAGTGCAATGGTGCGATCTCGGCTCATTGCAACCTCCGCCTCCTGGGTTCAGGCAATTCTCCTGCCTCAACCTCCTGAGTAGCTGGGATTACAGGCCCGCGCCACGATGCCCAGCTGATGTTTTGTATTTTTAGTAGAGACGGGGTTTCACCATGTTGACCAGGATGGTCTCGATCTCTTGACCTCGTGATCCACCCGCCTCGGCCTCCCAAAGTGCTGGGATTACAGGCTTGAGCCACCGCGCCCGGCCTGAAGCTGCTTCTTTCTTATCAGCATGAAAATACAGAGTGCGCCAGACTCCGAAGACTAGCTTAAAAGAACCCCTGGGATGTAATTCCCCAGCTAGCTGATTTAGTCTGTTTCCCAGCTTTGTCATTGACTTGCCATGACGTTTTGGCAAGTCACTCACCATGGGCGTCAGGACCTCTTTGAAAGCCAGAGGCCTGGTTAGTGAGCTAAGGAGTCAGGATGACAGCATTGAATTTCAGCCACACCCCGACCAGTTTAGGCAAGTCGTTTAACCCCTCTGCAGCTCAGTTTCCCCATCTATAACATTGAACCGCGATAGCACCCGTCTCTTGTGGCCGATTGTAAGGACTGAATGAAATGATCCGAGTACACACAGCATGGCAGGTGCAATGGTACTTTTTAGGAGCCATTGTTACTGTTGCCCCTGAGTTCTGGGATTCTGGGAGAGGCGTCCTACCCAGAATGTCCAGCAGGTGGTGGTGTCTCAGAACAAATCTCCCCCAGGCGGTCTGCGGGAAGGTTTTCTCCAAGAGGCAGGTAGGTGGTGGCTTTGGAGCCAGAGCACATCTGAGATGAAGGGAGCTCTGGAGGGTCCAGCCTCTTCGTTTCCCAAAGGGGAACCCCAAGACTAAAATGGGCGAACTGTGTTCCTGCAGCCATGAGAGAGCCGGGACTCAAACCAGTCCACCTGCCTCCTAGAGGGGGGTACCTGAGTTTCCCCACACCTCCAGCCTCCCTCCCACCTATGGGCTACCCCACCCACCCCCAGGATGTGCGCAGGATCCTCAGGGAGGTTGGGATGACCAGCTTCGCGCAGCACACTGGGTGTGTGTCTTGGTGGAGAGGAGGTTCCCGACTTTGGAGGGGAAAGGGCCCACTCTGA